AGACCCCTCCCGCGGTCGCGACCGACAAGTTTTTCGAGCCGCCGCCAGCCGTGGCGACGAGGCAAGAGCCAGAGCTGCTGGCCAAGCCAGTGCTGGGCCACCTCAGCCTCCCAGCTGGCTCCAAGCCTCGACTCGGCGGCGAGCGAGGGGGGTAACTGAGAAGGAGAAGGCCTTCTCAGAAGGCGGCGGGACTTCTCAGAAGCCCTCTGGCCTTCTGAGAAGCTTTCTGTGTCTTCGCGGAAGGCTTACAAAATTGTTCACGCTTCGCGAATCCCCACCAGCCCATTCAGGAGCCCTGCCCATGAGAGCCGACGGGAACAACCAGGGTGAACAAGAGAGATCTCAGGGAGCGAAGGGGTGGCCGTGGAAGGCCTCTTCGGGCTATCCCCAGGGCCCAGAGCTCTTCTGGGGCATCTTAGGGCCCTCTTGGGGCTTTTTGGGGTGTCTTGGGTCCTCTTGGAGCTTGAGCGCCTCCCACTTGGGAGAGCGCCTCCGGGGCCGTCTTGGAGACGATCGTTCAAATGAGAGGGGGTCCTCGATTTCCTCCCCCCCCCTCCAGGGCCATCGAGATAGCCTCTTGGGGCGCTCTTGGGGCAGTCTTGGGGGCCGCTTGGGCCCGTCTTGGAGCTTTCTTGGGCCATCTTAGGGCCATCTTGAGGCCTCAAAGCGCTTCGGAAGCGAAAAGGCGAGAAGGCAAAACTCAGTGACAGTCCAAAGATGTTTGAAGGATTTTGGCTTCTCGGGGAGGTCCTGACCCCAAGCCACCTGGGTGTGGCCTTCTTGGGGCCTCTTGGAAGCATGTTGTTAGCTATCTTGAGCCATGTTGGGCTATCTTGAGCGATCTTGGAGGCGATCCTGGGCTCTCTGAGGCCCTTTTGGAGCCACCTTGGCAAAAAAAGGACCTTCTGACACCTCGCGAACCTCCCCGTTCTGGAGGGAGGGGTAAACCCCTTCCCGAAGGGGAAGAAAGGGTTGTTGGAAGAGGAAAGAAAGACGTGTTTTTCGGAGACGGGCGTTGCACGCTATCGACGCCAGCCGCATCGCCCCCTCGTAAGTCAGGATGGGTCAAACACACACACACACACACACAGCCACAATTAATCGTCGATCCCCCAGGCAAGATGGGAACACATGGGAATGGGGGGAAGACGAAAGTCCAAAAGATATGGGAATCCTTCTATATGTATAGATACACATTATGTGTGTATATATGTATGTGGAATCCTGGGACTCGTGTGCATTGATTCGTGTGTCCCTGCGCCCCTTCAGTGAACGGCGCCCGACACGCGCGCCGAGACTCGCGGCACCCCCGCGCGGCAGCAGGCCCCGGCGGCCGGGGCGGCGCGGAGGACGAGGCCCTCGACCCGTCCAGGCGGGGCGGCCCTTGCCGCGCGGCGGCGGCCTGCGTCGGCGGCGGGCCTTCGGGGTCTTCGGGGCTCGATCGGGGTTGTTCGGGCGCTCGATCGAGGTGTTCGGGCGTTCGATCGAGGTTCTCGGGGTTCGATCGAGGCGTTCGGCGGCGGGCCTTCGGGGAGTTCGGGCGTTCGATCGAGGTGTTCGGGCGTTCGATCGAGGTGTTCGGGCGTTCGATCGAGGGGTTTTCGATCGGCGGCGAGCCTCGAGGGTGTTCGGGCGTTCGATCGAGGCGTCTGGGCGTTCGATCGAGGGTTCTTTGACGGATTGAGCTCCGAGGTTTTCGGGGTTCGATCGAGGTGCTCGGGCGGTTTCGTCGTTTCTCAGGCGATCGCAAACATGGATCAAGGGGGCGTGGATGAGCGACGGGTCCCGTTTCCCTGGGAAATCGCGGATTTCCTCCGCCGAGCGAGGCGGCAGCGGCCTCGTTTGGGGGAGGACACCTCCCCCGATCCATGGATTTGGCGACCGCGCGCCAAATCCATGGATATCTAATCCATTTTTGCGCGCCCCCGATTTTCGGGGTGCGATCGAGGTGTTCGGGCGTTTTCGTCGTTTCTCGGCGGTCTTCCAGCCTCGGGATGCTTTCCGGCAGCAGCGCCTCGCCGAGGGCGTTCCGGGGGGTGCCCAGAGGGACGAGTATTGACCCGAAGACCAAACTCGGCGGCGCGCCCGGGGGGAAGTGAGAAGGGGCAGGCCTTCTCAGAAGGCTCGGAAGTCCCCCGGCCTTCTGAGAATCAGGGGGCCAGAGACGGGGTAACAGCAGACGGGGTAACAGGAAACGGCCGGTTCGAGGCATCAAATGGACCTTTTGTTGCAGTGTATTTTTTTGTTTTCGCGTTCGATGCAGCACCTTCAACATGCTGGCTGCGTTGCACATTTCCGGCTGCTGCACTGCAACTTTTTGTTTTGTGCCCTCCGTTACCCAGTGTGTGGGGTTTGTTTGCAGTGTTTCCGCAGCTAGTTGCCAACAAATTGCAGTGCAGTGTTTTTGCGTTGCAGAAAAACGCAGTGCAGTTTTCTGTTCTGGTCGTTGCAGTTTTTCCACCTGGATCCCATGGTGGGTCTGTTACCCCGTTTACGCGTTACCCAGTTTAGTGCTCCCTGAGAGAAGTTGTGCAAGTTTCCCCGAAGACACAGACAAATTCTCAGAAGGCCAGAGGGCTTCTGAAGAGCCCCGCCGTCTTCTGAAAAGGGTTTCTCCTTTTCACTTCCCCCCCTCACGCACCGCCGAGTGGAGAGGGGTGTTGCCGGTAGCCCGACGCGATCTTGCGTGGTTGGGCATGGTAAGGCTTGGGGCGGCACACAGACGGTCGAAGAAGAGGAAACGGCATGAACACAAGTTGCTGGAGTTCCGCGCGGACTTCTTGGATCGGCGCTGGGGCCCTCCTGGCGGCGCCTCCTGCGCCGCCCCTAGCGCGCTCCGCTCGTCCGGAGGGTGGTCCAGCGATCAAAGAAATCCGCGCGGACTCTCAGAAATTCTTTACGCTTCGCGTATCCCCACCAGCCCATCTCACAGCAGCAACTCTTGCGAAGCATGCCGACAGTCGTGTTTTTCAGGCGTGTGTCCGCTTGGCCCCGCATATCTCTCCTGTTCCTCCTTCCTCCCGCCTCCTTGTACATCCTCCTTGTGGGGGCAGCGGGAGAAGGACGAGGCGGAGGAGGAGGGAGAGAAAGCGCTCCTCGTGGTTTGAGTCGTTTGGGGTTTCTCGTCCTGGTGTGAGTCGTTCGGGCCCTTTTTCCTGGTGTGAGTCGTTCGGGCTCTTCGTGGTGTGAGTCGTTCGGGCTCTTCGTCCTGGTGTGAGTCGTTCGGGCTTCTCGTGGTGTGAGTTGTTCGGGCCCCTCGTCCTGGTGTGAGTCGTTCGGGCCCCTCCTCCTGGTGTGACTCGTTCGGGCTCCTCGTGGTGTGAGTCGTTCGGGGCCCTCGTCGTGGTGTGAGTCGTTCGGGCTCCTCATCCTGGTGTGAGTCGTTCGGGCGCCTCGTCCTGGTGTGAGTCGTTCGGGCCCTTCCTTGTGTGAGTCGTTCGGGCTCCTCGTGGTGTGAGTCGTTGGGGTCTCTCGTCCTGGTGTGAGTCGTTCGAGCTCCTCGTGGGGCCTCTTGGAGCCTCTTGGGGCGTCTTGGGAGCGGGGGCGTCTTGGGGGCCTCTTGGAGCCTCTTGGGGCCTCTGGGGTGCCTCTTGGGAGCCTCTTGGGGACCTTTTGGGGCCTCTTGGGGGCCTCTTGGGGGCCTCCTGGAGGCCTCTTGGGAGCCTCCTGGGGGCCTCTTGGGTCCATCTTGGAGCCTCTTGCGACCTCCTCAGAAGCGCAAATGAGCGTTGCCCCCTGATTTGACAAAAATGAGCCCAAAACCTTCGTAAAATCAATGATTTTGCTATGAAGGAAGGGGAGCGCGGCCCCCTCAGAAGGCCAAAATGGGGCCAAAACCGTAGTAAAATCAATGATTTGTGCTTCAAAGACGAGCTGAGGCACCAAACTCCCCCCCCCCCCTCGGGGCCAGAATCCTCGTGAGGGTCGTCGTTTTTTGGCCCTCCCAGGCGTCGAAAAAGACCCCCCTGACTACGCTCGGAACTCCCGATCCAGGTCCAGGGGGAGGGGGTAGGGGGAGGGGTAAACCCCTCCCCGAAAGGGAAGAAGGGGGGTTGAGGACAGAGAGAGCTCCCTAAACCACTCACGCCCAAAGGGCTGGTGGGATTGTGTTTATGCGGTTCTTTTCTTGTTCCCCCAGGCAGGCCCCTGGGTACACATGTACTCTTCTGTCAATTGCTTCACACTCGGGGAAGCTCTGCGAGTCACGGGCGGCGTGGGCGGCGCGCATGTGGCGCACGGTCGCCCCGTGGGACGGGGCGGGGTGCGCGATCTTTGGAAGGGATCTTTGGTTGCCCAGGAGCCGCGCGCGTCCCAGCTGGCCTCAACAGCTGCCCAAGCAGTCCGGGGCGGACTCAATACCTCAACCCAGGGGCGCAGAGCGCCCGCAGGGACGCCGCTGGAGGCGTCGCCAGAGTATGGAGACTGCCCCAGACTACTCGTGGGGGCTTGTTGAGACCAGTTGGGATTGCCCGGGCGGGTTGTCTGTGCGCAACCGAAGCAATCCGCATCGCAAGACACGTTGTGTATGTGTGATCTACCCAAGAGAAAGTTGATCAGATGCTTGCCTGCGGCACTCATGGTCTCCCTTCTTCTCTCGTACAGACAGGCTACATAAGCGCCCGAACACTGTACAGTTGTGGCGTGATTTATCCCGTCTCTTGCAGGACCTGTATGTAGAGACACATGATGCATATAGCTGTACTACTACAATGAGTACCTTCTACATAAGAAAACTGATCTGGCTAGACCTTCGGCCCGCTGGGGGCCGCTGGGTCCCGGCGCGCCTGGAGGGCCCAAGACGGCTCCTGATGGCTTCCAGAGGGCCCCAAGCTGGGCCAAGAGGGCTGCAAGACGCCCACGATGGCCCTAAGACAGTCTCAGAGGCCCTTTTTTCGCCCCAAGGCACCACAAGAGGCCTCCCAAGGGAGCCCCAAGAGGCCAAAATCGCCGAATTCCGATGGTAAAACGTACATATTCAGCATCAACACTTCTCGCCTTCCCGACGCTCCAAGACGGCCCAAGATGCCCCGCAGAACGCTTCCGTAGCCATTTTGGCTCAAGCCGCTCCGCGCGAGAGCCGCCTCCGCACGGAGGCCCCCCCCTGGGGCGCGCGGGGCGGCCAGGGAGGCGATGAGCACGGAGCCGCTGCTCGGGGCGGGCGCGCGGCAGGGGAGCGGCATCGGATGCCGCGCCGTCTAGCATTCTGCGTTGGCGAGCTGGTGGGCAACTACCACTGCCGAGGAGTACTTGTCGTCGCCGGTCAGCCGGCGCTGGCTCTGGAAGTACTACGCCGTCATTCCGATATTGGGCATGTTGGCGGACGTTGCTTACTGCGACATATTTGGCCAGGACCTTTCAGAGACACTGGGTCCATCTGACGCTACCGATTTCGCTCTGGCGGTCTTGCTCGCGTACCTTCCGCTGAACACCCCGAGGTCGGATGTAATACTGATCGCTTGCATGATCTCACAGTTCTGGGTGTCGTTTTTGAGCCCTGGCTTGGGCACGACGGGTGCGCAATTTGTTTACGGTGGTCTCGTGGTCAAAGTTGTTTTGTGCTTCGCGTTGGGCATCCACTCGCTCTGCGTATTTTGTTTCGGCGCCTGCTCGTTATTGATGTACGATTTCTATTTAGAACTGCGTTTGGAATACACAGGTATGCTTTACACAATGATTTGCACAGTGTCGTTGATCACATCTGTGTTCACAGTGCTCGAATGGGTTATCGCATCATATTTCAATGAGTTAAGAGAGCGCCTTAGTTCTATTCAGAAGTTGCTCGACAAGGAAACTGATGGATATTGTGCAGTGAATCGACAGACAGGTCGCATCGCACATATGAGTAAGAGTTTGGAACACGTTCTGGGTGAAGGCCTCCTGGGAGCACAGGTCTTAGAGCTGATAGACGATCGGGACCGTGCGGAGGTAAAGCGCTTGTATACAGGTGCCAACCCAGACGCGGCAGAACCAGCACTCGCAACGTTTGCGCGTCGGACGCCGAGCAAGAAACGTGGTAAGGTGGAGTTCGACGCAAAGTTAGTGCCCTACCGCTTCACTGCGTCCGAAGTCCGCATCAGGTTCCAGGTTATCGGCGAGCTGAGGATGACCAGAGGCTTGATGGATGGGGCCGCAGACGCACGGGATACTCGCCCGTCAGGCGCTGCATCGGAGGAGGAACGACTCTTTGGACTGCAGGAGCAGAGCGCGGCCCTTGCCAGACCCTGACGGCATGGCGAGCGCGGAGCCGAGAGACAGGGTCGAGCCCCCGAGGTTGCGGATCTCCGAGCCTCACAGTCTGGGTAGTCGAAGGCCAGACTGTCAGATTGGATTGGGCCCCACGGGCCAATCTGGCCTGGCCAAACTGGATGATTTGGGTTATTCGCCAGACTGGATTCGCGTTGGCTCCCTCGCCAGATTGCCCCCGTTTGCCAGATTGGGCCTGCCAGATTGGCGCCAGATTGGCTTCGACTACCGAGACAGTAGTTTGTCCACATGCTCGGCAGAGGCGTTCGACACCCTGCAGATTGGCGTTTGCCTCTGGGCATCCGAGCCTCCTCGTCTGCAAACAGCAGCTGCAGCAGGGAGCTGCTGCCTGGCCAGGGGGAAGCTCCTGCGCCGGTTCCCACCCACGGGCACGGCCGGGCGTCGAGAAGTGGATCGTCGATGCGGTCAGCCAGGCCACGGGAGACGAGACCTGCCCAGAGCCGATCGAGAATTCGGAGCTCAATTTGCCGCCAGCGCCTGCGCTCAGAGTCACTGCGAAGAGGACGGTACCTTGTCGGTGCCGGCAGTTCTGTGCTTGAGCGGCGTGACGATCTCGCAGAGGCTAAATCGCGAAGCAAACGAGCGGCTTTTGTCTGCGATCCCCGAAGATGCTCTGACGGTGGCGAACAGCGACAGCGTGTCTCCTTGGGACAGCGTCTCGAATATCGCCACAGGATTCGCAGAGCCCGAGGGCCAGCTAGACTCCCTATCTCCTGAGGACGGCCCGGCGATGTAAGTCGTGCGCTGCTTGTGGTGCGCTGCTTGTGGTGCGCTCTGGCCGTCTTTCCGCCACTCGTGGGCCGGGGCCCAGAGTACAATCACGTTCGTTCCAACATCGCCACCAAGTACGAGCTGCAGTCCAACTACTGGACCAGTGTCCCGAGAGTGACGTCCAAGAGCGGGTGGGTGACCATCGGCCAGGGCGTTTCATTGGCAAGCAGAGCCCGAATGATGAGAGCTGGTTGCGAGCTGGCGATCACGATCTTATCGAGGCCCCCTGATTAGCGACTTCGTCCTTTGGATGGTTAGTCTTCGAATGGAGGTGCTACTCCAGAGCTAGGGTGCACCTCTTCACCATCTTCTTCGATGTCAAACATTGTCACAGGAATTGCAGAGACGACGAATCAGCCAGAGCGGTCTAATTAGGCGCTTTCGGGCAAGGCCTGCGTTTTGCAAATGCTGTGCATGTCGTATTGCATAACAGTGTCGCTTCTTACCGAAGGGATCTATCTTGAACATCGGACAGCGAGAAAAAAAAATATGCCCCGCAGAACGCTCCAGGACGGCCCAAGACAGCCCAAGAGACCCCTACGACGGCCCAAGAGGGCCCCGAGATTGCCCAAGAGGCGCCCAAGACGGCCCAAGGGGGCCCCAAAACGGCCCCAGAGGGGCACCAAGGACCCCACAGAGGCCTCCACCAGGCCCCAGCTGCCCAAGGGGCCCAACACAACACACCAAGAGACGCCAAAACAGCCCCCAAGACACCTCAAGAGGCCTCCCAAGTGAGCCCCCCAAGAGGCCCAAATCGGCAGATTTCCGCTGCGCGAAGACGCATATTTGCAGCATCAACAACTTCTCGCCTTCCCGACGCTCCAAGACGGCCCAAGACGCCCCCCAGATCGCCCTAAGACGGCCCAAGAGGCACTCAAGAGGCCCCCACGACGGCCCAAGAGGGCCCCAAGACGGCCCAAGAGGCGCCCAAGACGGCCCAAGGGAGCCCCCAAAAGGCCCTTGAGAGGCACCAAGGACCACAGAGGCCTCCAACAGGCCCCAGCTGCCCAAGAGGCCCAACACAACACACCAAGAGACGCCAAAACCGACCCCAGGAGGGGTCAAAACTGCTTCCGGAAAGCACCACGCAAGCTTCGTGGGCCCCCTGGATTAGTATCCATATCTATGTATAGAAAGAAAGAAAGAGAAAGGCTTGGCCCCGTGCCGCCGGCTCCCTCTCTATCAGAATCCGATATATCAGAGTAGCGTCGGTGCGTCTCGGCGCTGCCTTGGCGCATCTGGGAACATCATGCGGGGGCGGATAGGAATCATCAGCGCATATTGAGACGTTGGCGTTATCGAAGACGCCTACGGCGAATCACCGCCGCCCCCTGCCTTCTTGGAAGCGCCTATGTGGCCGAAAGTTTGGTTTGAGCTTGGCCAAGCAAACGGGCCACGCGTTCCCCGAGTGGGTTTCGAAAGCTTTCGGGGAACGCGGAGTCGGGCGAGCTATCGGACCAGGTGGTTTCCGAGCTTTCGGGTTTCCTGGAGGACGTCTTGGAGGGCTCTCGGGCCGTCTTGGAGGCCTCTGGCGGGCCTTTTGGGCAGTCTAAGGCTATCTTCAGGCCATTTGGGGCCGTCTTGGGTGTATCTTGGGGCCATTTTCGCTGTCTTGTAGGCCTTCTTGGCCGTCTTGGAGGCATCTTGGAGGCCATCTTGTCCGTCTTGGATGCCATCTTGGGCGTCTTGGGGACCTTTTGGGCCGTCTTGGAGTCTTGTTGGGGCCCTCTCAGGGGCTCTTGGGCTATCATGGGGCCATCTTGGAGGCTTTCGTCCTTTCGGGTCTTCCTGGTGGAGCTCTTGGAGGGCTCTTGGGGCTTTCTTGGGCAGTCTTCGGGCAATTGTGGAGCCATATTAGACCATCTTGAGACCATCTTGGGCAATATTGGGTGCATCTTGGGCCGTCTTGGAGACATCTGGGGGCCTCCTTGGGCTCTCTTGGGGCCATCTTCGCCGCCTTGGAGGCCATCTCGGGCGTTTTGGAGGCCTCTTGGGCCGTCTTGGGGTCCTCTTTGGGCCATCTTGGGGGCCTCTTAGATCGTCCTGGGGCCATCTTGGAGGCTTCTTGGGCACTCTTGCGGCGATCTTGATGAGCTCCTGGGCCGTCGGAAGGCCGAAAAAGAGCAAAAGCCAAAATCCTTCAAAAACCGAAGGGGGAACAATTATTTTGACCTCTTCGGGACGTCCTGGAGGAACTCTTCGAGGCCTCTTGGGCCGTCTTGGAGGCCTCTTGGAGGCCTCTTGCGCCATCTTGGGCCGTCTTAGGCGTTTCTTGTGCGAACTTGGAGGCATCTTGGACTCTCTCGGGCCGTCTTCGAGACCATCTTGGACGAACTTGGAGGCCATCTTGGGCCATCTTGACCATCTTGGAGCCGTCTGCAGCCGAAAAACCATTTGCAACCACCTGTTACGCATCTCTGGCGGGACGGGCCGAAGCCCCAGGGGGAGGAGTTTTTGAAAAGAACCAAAGCCAAAAGCGAAAGGGTCTAGCACGCCGGGCACCCCTGTGATGGAAGACGCCGGGCCAACAGGGGGCGGCGGATCGAAGACGCCTACAGCGAATCGCAGCCACCCCCTGCCTTTTTAGAAGCGCCTATGTGGCCGAACGTTGAGGCCAGACCTGCCAAGCTATCGGACCATGTGTTCCCCGAATCGGTTTGGAAAGCCTTCGGGGAACACGTGGGCATCTTGGAGGTCATCTTGGCCGTCTGGAGGCCATTTTGACCCTTTCGGGCCTTCTTGGGGGGACGTCTTGGAGGCCTCTTGGGCCGTCTTGGAGGCCATCTTGAGCGTCTTGGAGACCTCTTGGGCCGTTTTGGGAGCCTCTTGGGGCCGTGTCTTGGGCCTCTTGGGCGATCTTTGGGGGCACTTGGGCCGACTCGGGCCGAAGGCCGCAAAAAAGAAGATGCCACAATCCTTCAAAAACCATGGAAAATCAATGATGTTAGCCTTTTCGGGCCTTCCTGGAGGCCCTCTTGGAGGCCTCTTGGGCCGTCTTGGGCCATCTGAGGACCATGTTCGGCCGTCTTGGTGGGCTCCTGGTCCGTCTGACGCCGTCGGAAGCCGTTTGGGGGGCCTCTATGGGCCGACTTGGGGCCCTCTTGGAATGCTCCAGGGCCGTCTTGGAGGCCATCTTGGGCGTCTTAAAGGCCTCTTGTGCCGTCTTGGGGGCCTCTTGGGGCCGTCTTGGGGTCGTCTTGGGCCGTTCTTGGAGGCCTATTGGGCGATTTTTCGGCGATCTTCGGGGCTCTTGGGCCGCCTCGGGCCGTCGGAAGACCGAAAAGAATGTCAAATCCGTCAGAACTTTTAGGAACAACAATGTGTTTGGCCTCTTCTGGCCTTCCTGGAGGCCCTCTTGGGGGCCTGTTGGGCCGTCTTGGGCCAGCTTCGAGCCAACTTCGGCCATCTTGGTGGGTTCCTGGTCCGTCTGACGTCGTCGGAAGCCGTTTGGAGGGCCTCTATGGGCCGACTTGGTGTCCTCTTGGGGCGCTTCGGGGCCATCTTGGAGGCCATCTTGGGCGTCTTGGAGGCTATCTTGGGCGTCTTGGAGGCCTCTTGGGCCGTCGTGGTGCCCTCTTGGGGCGGTCTTGGGGGCGTCTGGGGCCAGTCATGGGGCCCTCTTGGAGGCCTTGGAGGCCTCTTGGGCCGTCTTGGAGGCCTCTTGGGGGCCTCTTGGGCCGTTTTGGGGCATCCTCAGGCTATCTTAGGCCGTCTAGGGTACATCTTGGGCCGTCTTGGATGCATCTTGGGGCCATCTGAGCCGTCTTGGAGGCTATCTTGGGGCCGTCTGGGGCAGGAAAACCGTTTGCAACCACCTCTTTTGGGTGGCCGTCGGGACGGGCCGAAGCCCCAGGGGGAGTTCTTTTGGAAAAAGAGCCAAAACCGAAAGCCATATCGTTCGGCACGCCAGGCACCCGTTTGATAAATCAAAAGGAGGCGGCGGATCGAAGACGCCTAAGGCGAATCGCCGCCACCCCCTGCCTTTTTGGAAGCGCCTATGTGGCCGAACGTTGAGGCCAGACCTGCCAAGCTATCGGACCATGTGTTCCCCGAATCGGTTTGGAAAGTCTTCGGGGAACACGTGGGCATCTTGAAGGTCATTTTGGCCGTCTGGAGTCTGGAGGCCATTTTCACTTTGTCGGGCCTTCTTGGAAGACGTCTTGGAGGCCTCTGGGGCCGTCTTGGAGGCCATCTTGAGCGTCTTGGAGACCTCTTGGGCCGTTTTGGGAGCCTCTTGGGGCCGTGTCTTGGGCCTCTTGGGCGATCTTTGGGGGCACTTGGGCCGTCTCGGGCCGAAGGCAGAACAAAAAGCAAATGCCACAATCCTTCAAAAACCATGGAAAATCAATGATACTGGCCTTTTCGGGCCTTCCTGGAGGCCCTCTTGGAGGCCTCTTGGGCCGTCTTGGGCCATCTGAGGACCATGTTCGGCCGTCTTGGTGGGCTCCTGGTCCGTCTGACGCCGTCGGAAGCCGTTTGGGTGGCCTCTATGGGCCGACTTGGGGCCCTCTTGGAATGCTTCAGGGCCGTCTTGGAGGCCATCTTAGGCGTCTTAAAGGCCTCCTGTGCCGTCTTGGGGGCATCTTGGGGCCGTCTTGGGGTCCTCTTGGGCCGTTCTGGGGCCATCTTGGAGGCCTATTGGGCGATCTGTCGGCGATCTTCGGGGGCTCTTGGGCCGCCTCGGGCCGTCGGAAGGCCGAAAAGAAGCAAATGTCAAAATCCGTCAAAAACCTCAGGAACATCAATGTTTTTTCCCTTTTCTGGCCTTCCTGGAGGCCCTCTTGGAGGCCGTTTTGGGCCAGCTTCGAGCCAATTTCGGCCATCTTGGTGGGTTCCTGGCACGTCTGACGCCGTCGGAAGCCGTTTGGAGGGCCTTTCTGGGCCGACTCGCGGCCCTCTTGGGGCGCTTCGGGGCCGTGTGAGTGCGTCCCCTGGACCCCTGTGGGCCGCGCACGTGCCTCGGGCGGGCCACGATGCGCGAGCCCCTCCCGATACGAAACGCGTCTACCCGAGAGGACAGATTCCTCCTCCTCCTCCTCCTCCTCCTCCTCCTCCTCCTCCCCCTCCTCCTCCTCCTCCTCCTCCTCCCCCTCCTCCTTCTCCTCCTCCTCCCTCCCTCCTCCTCCTCCTCCTCCTCCTCCCTCCCTTCTCCTCCTCCTCCTCCTCCTCCTCCTCCTCCTCCTCCTCCGCCACGATACACGACGGACGCCCCCGAGCACGGGTGTCGGACGAGAGGATGTTGAGTCGCGAGGCTGGCGGCATGCAGCCGGTTTCGTGTCCGCCGCGGGGCACCTCTCGCGACACTGCAGGAGGGCAAAAACACAGACACAATGAATCGTCGATCCCCCCGAAAAAAGATGTGAAAATATGGGAACTGGTGGGAAAGACAAAAACCCAGAAAATATGGGAAAATATGGGGAACCTTTTTCTTTGTGTGTATTCATTTGTGTGTCCCAGGGCCCCTTCAGACACATCGGCGCCTCGTGCGCCGGGAGGCGCCCGGGAAGTCGGCCACGTG